AAGCAGAAGAAAAACCTCCGCCTCCGGCAAGGCAAACCGAAGAGTGGGAAAGACACTTCAGAGAGGCAAGCCACCTTCAGTGTCCGAACAATAACAATGCATATCTTTAGGCACTAAAAATTCAGCCCGATATATATATAGATGTGCACAAGCTTCGGTCTTTAAACCCTGCAACAGAACTAAAAGATAAAAACAGACAAGGGAGAAAGCAAACAAACGGGAGCCCCCAAGCCTCCCATTTTTTACGCTTTCTACAAATTCAGTAAAATCCAACCCATCTCATCCTCGTACGTATTCAGGATTTACTTGTCCGCTATTCCCACCAGGAGAATTAAATCCTGTAACTGGCATCGACCTCTGAGCGAAATTCATTAACATTTTTTTCTGATTTTCATCTGTGTGTGGCAGACTCGCACGTAAAAGCTCCACAGGCATCTCTCTACTTATAGCTTTCGCAGCCTCGGAACCCATTATTTCTGAACTTGGTACATTCTGAGCAATCAATGACTGAACAATACTATCGTATTTACCCACACAGTACTTTGTTAATAAACCAAAGAAGGCATCAAATGAAGCCTGCCAGAGAGCGGGATTAGGAATGCTGCTGCTGAAGTTATTACCCGCAGCAAACTGAGGGTCTCTCAACAAAACAGTGGCTCTCTCTAAAACAGACTTCAATATTACAGAAGCGCCATCTCCGGCAAGGCTGCCCACTGGCCGGAGGGGCGGCTGTTCGGACGAACAAACCACAGCAGCAAGACAAGCACTGAGTGAATTAAGATCCATACAGCTCACACAAAGAGAGACTTTTTTGGCAAGTTCGTTTACAGTACCAGCTGATTCGGTATCAGAAGGCAGGCCACCGAACAAAAACCTCGAATGCCGGAAAATGGCCATGCACACGATTCGGACAAGCTCGGACCCGGGGAGGAGAAGCTGTAGAAACTTCGAGATCAGTTTCCGGCCCTTAGAGATGGAAGCGATCCGTAAAAAGACGATATCGTCCTTGGGCGAAAGTCCAACCGAATTCCCGTTTTTACCCAAAGGGTCAACTAGCTGAAGAGAAGCGGCCAGGCCTTCCAAGAGGACATGGCGCTTTCGCCGGAGGTGGGTCCCGCCGTCTTGGGGCTGAGTAAACTGCAAGATTCGGTCAATATCGTCGACTTCAAGAAGAAGAGTAATCCCATCTTCAATCGTAATCCTAGCTGCAAACATAGGCTCCTTTTCCAGAGGCTTCTCGGAAGATTTGTGCTCGGGAATAATTTCTCCACAAGCAGGGGGAGGCGGGTCGAGCTCGAGAAGAGGGAGGGGCCTCCGAACAGACGAAAAACCAACCCTTCCAAGAGCGTCCACGTGGAGGTGCGGCTGCGAATCGGTGCTATTGCGTGATTTGGAAGAAGACTGTTCTTTTTGATTGGATGGGCAAAAACGGGACCTCGACCTAGTTTCGGAGGATTTCTTGGCCAGTCGGGCCTGGTGGTAATAATCATCTATGTACGGGTCATTGCCATGAGTTGCCGCAAGCTGCATTTTGAGAATGCTTTCGATTTCTTCGGAAGTCATGTGCTTTGACCTGAATTGTGGGAGACTGTTGCTCTCGCTCCTGATGCTGCTGGCATCGGAAGTCTGTTGGGAAAAACGAACAGAGTGCTGCTTGCTTTTATTCGACTTGGGCTTCGAACCTCTCTTTTCGGGCAATCCGTATTTACTCAGATGGGCAGGTGAGGGGAAAGTGCTGAAGATTTGATTTTGTAATGCCGAATAATGGGCTAAAGATGGGTTGAAGGAAAAATGTCCCCTTTGCTGCTGTGGGGACGACAGAAGCTGAGGTGGCAGCAGCCCGTTCTGATACTGCTGTTGCAATATATTGTTTACGAGGATAGAATGGTCCCCGTGAAGAAGGCCAGCATGGCTACTCCACTGGCTTTGTAGTCGATTTTGGCGGCCGAGATTTGGCGTAGTAGTCAACTGGGACATGTTTGAGCTATTATAACGGAGCCCACGAGACAAGCCGGACAAATGGAGAGCAGAACTATTAAAGGAAGAGTTGTTTGGTGTGGATAGAGAAGACTGGGACCCACCGGAAAGTGAAGGCAGATTAAAGTGGTAGGGATTATTATTATTATTATTATTGTAAGATGAAGCTTGCTGTTGTGAACCCGGTGGAGGAAAGGAAGTAAAAGATGATTTTGGGACTAAAATGGGTTCGCTCGAACAGTGTTGCAGAGGTTGTGGCGGAGGCTGTGGGTATGAAGATGTTCTCTGTAATGGTTTTGATTCCGAAAGAAAGAGTGAAGAGAGATGGGGCTGTGATGACCATCTCTTGTTTTCCTCGTAACATTCAGAATCGGATATGTGATGCTCGAGCCAATCAGGGTAATCTGCATCTCGTGCCCATTCTGTGGCTGATGAACCTGCCACACAGTAAAATCATAAAATTAAAAGATAAAATAAACATTATTAAGCATTTCAGCAAACAATATCCTCAATTCACAGCTTCATAAATAAAATAATGGAATGGTCCTTTGCACAAGAAAACATTGACATCACGACGAAGACTAGCAAAATATCTTCTTCTCATGGAAACAACCATAAAAAATCTTTTTAACCCTACTACATTGCCAACTTAAACTGAGATTTCTTCCGTATTTACCAAGCCATTTGTACCATGCAAGATAAAAGCCAGACAACTTAATTATCAAGTATGAATAGCAATACAACAAGCAGCACATATATTACGAGGAAATAAATTACAACTCGTGATCAGCAACTAAAAAAAGTAAATAACTCACTTTCCCTTGAGAAAGATCCAGATCCCCGATCACCAATAACTCCAGGATGCCTTGGTCCAGACACAACTTTGTTTATCTGTAGATGAATAACTTGATTAATAAACTGAAAATACTAATACAACTCCCAACAGCAACTGCTACTCAACAAAGGGTTTATTCACGCAAAAGTTTCATTACTGTAGAGCTTCAAAGCACTTTATACATGTCATATTATGTTTGATAATGTTAGCTGATGAAAACTAATTATATCATTTAATAGGAATAAATGTAGGATAAACCAACATGAAAGAGCCCTTCAATAACCTTGCCCTCTTTATCATATGATCAAATACAGGCGATTTCACAATACAATGCTGAAACCAAATAGCTTCGCTGAAAAGGAATAGCTGAATCTATGAAAGCAACACAGACCCAATTTCCAAGCAAACACAGCTCACCTTAGCAAACGTAGTAGCCAGGTCATCTATATCCGATAGTGATCCCAAGCCCGACCCCTGTAAAACAAATATAAGTCAACAGCTAAGCACTTCATCCTCATTCAGAAAACAATATCAAGTCAACAATCAATTCAAATATTTGCTATCCATTTCTAGAAAAGAATCATTTAAGCTTCCAGGATTTTTAGTACAACTGCACATTAGGTGCTTATCCAATGCAGCTTCAGAACTTCAGTGTGCCGAGACACCACCTTAAACACTAGCTACTGTTCCAACAGTCAGATGCATGCTCTAGTAAAATGCATTTATCTAAAACAGATAACATAGGCAGAAGTCAACATCGCAACAGAACCTTCACATATCATTTCACTATTTACACCTTATATTTCAATTAAAAGATACTCATGCAACATATTTCTGACACAGTGTGCAGACATCCAAACCATAAAACATTTGGAAAAGGCCAACAGGCAACAACAAAAATGAAACCAAGCATCACCAACATCAGATTCCCGAGAAACCGTTTGTACAATTTATATTCTTTGTTTACCTCATCTTTGTCAAACAAATGGTACTCGTTCAAATCTTCTTCCCCATTGAATCTGCTTCCAATTGCAGGAACATCCTCGTTTTCATCTTCCAAACCCCCTAATTCCACTCCATCAGCTGCACCTTTCCCGAAGAAAGTATATTGAGATGCATCAAACAGCACGCTATCTGCATTGAAAGATCCCGAAACAAACCAACAAACTAAGTCAATCCACAACCCATCTTAACTAACCGAAGAAGAAATCACAAAACCCACAAAGCTCAAAACGCCACAAATTTTCCAACCAAACAAAATAGCATCCAAGAAAACCAAATGAGAAAAGGCAGACTGGGATCGAAACCAGAAAAATATATAAAAACGGAAACTTGTAAAGGCCAAGCTGCGCACCAGAAACTGAGCTCCTTGATGGGTCGATGAAGCCATTGAGATCTCTCCCATCAGATCTCTCCATAATTATAAACTTCACCCGTGAAAAAAATCAAAAAGGGGAACGGAAGAACACAACCTTAATTACAGAAAGATGAATCCCGAGACCCAATTCCCCAACCGACTCATCTTATCGCAAAATTAGGGTTTTTGAAGCAGACAAGGAAACACTTGCAGCTAAAACAAGCAGCTCAATCAGAAAAAAGTCATTGCTGGGTGTCTATATTTCTTGTAATTCAAGAGGTAGAGAGAGAGGGGTAATGGTAGGGGGAGAGGGAGCTGGGGGATTTCTGTGTGTATGTAATTGTATGTATATGATGAAAGAGAAACGAAGAGAGAGAGGGGGGTTATGGTGAGGGTTGCTTCTCGGCAACTAAAATCTAAAAGGTGAAGATTAGGAAGAAATGTGTGTGTGTGTGTGTGAGAGAGAGAGAGAGAGAGTAACAATTAATTAATTAATTATAAAATCATTTTCGCATTTTTTTATTAATTAGTAAACGTAATAAGGACGACTCTAACATTGACTTTCTTGTCCTTTTATTGAAAATATGAGGTTATAAATGCGGTTTGATTATACAAAAATCAAAGAAAATATAAGGTTGTACCCAAAAAAAAAATATAAGGTTGGACAATTTTTTTTTACGAGTCTAAACGTTAGTCAGGTCTAAATATTATACTTTTATAACATAAAATATAGAGTATGATTTGAAAGTATGTATTTAAAAAAATTATGAATGTCTAATTATATTGTTTACTTAACAATAGTGCTGTAAAATTAAACGAGTTTGTCTCGACTTCACTCGTGCTCATTTTAAGCTCGTTTGGTTGATAAGTCGAATTCGGCTCTGCTCGATAAGGCTCGAAAAGAGAATTTTTATATAATTTTTAATAATTCGACTCGTTAATGTTTGAGAAGGGTTCGGCTCGTTTACAAGCCTACTTAATAATAATATTACTGTGTTTTTTTTTTGTGGTCATTTATTTACTTATTTTTCATAAATTCTATGACTTCGGTTTAACCATAAATTGCTACAATAATAGATGTCTCAGTGACATTTATAAATTTGTGGGTGCTTTATAAATTGTGTCATCTCATAAATCCATGGCAAAACTATCTATTTTCATTCAAAGTGTTGATGATTTGCAGTTCAATTATTCGATGTTTTTGTATCAAAGACACAATTGATATAAGATGCTAAATGTGTTTTTAATTTTTTTATAATATATAGAAGTAGAGCACGGTGTACCTAACGGGACCCTACAATCATGGTTCTAAAAATCAAAATCGAGCATGAAATTGGTGAAGTTATTAAGTTCAACAACTCACTAATATAGTTAAACTGCAATTAGCCGGTATTTGATGTATTGATGTTTTTGAATATTTGTAGTACTTTAAACAATACATTTATATAAAAAAGAAATTGATTAAACCTTTATATAATTTAATGCATTTTATATAGTCAATTTCTGGTCCAGCCAGTCGGTTTCTCCCTCCTACATCACATGAAAACTTCACATGATTCATATGTAAATTATTAGGGGGAAAAATATCTAAAATGAAATGTAATAAATAAAATTCTAAAAAGTGATATCTAAAGTTGCACGAATGAGATAAGATGCATATATGCAATAATGCAAATGCCTCTCTACTTACCAAAAGTTTTTTTTATTGAATTTTGTACCACCCCAAAATGGAAGGACCACCTAAATTGTTTTTCATCATTTAACTCAATTGTTTTTATTAAATTGTTTTTTCATCATTTAATTCAAAAGCTTTATGCACTTTGTTGAAAAAGACACACACCCACATGTTTAGGGATACTGTTTTATACTGTAGGAATTGGACATTATTTTCAATGGCTTGCACTTATTAAAATAAGGGGCCTTATAAATTGCAGAAAATAAAGGGAATAATCATCATGTTGTTTGAACCTAAAAAGAGAAATGAAGTTGCTCTTAACCTTCACTATTTGAATCCACATTACATATATAATTAATTACAACTCAGTATGGTAGGTGAACAATTATGTTCAGTACATATCTTATGAAAAAATGGGACCAACCCAAATCTTGATCCAAAACTCAAGGAACAAAGTGAAATCATTCATAGAACAAAAGAAAAATGACAAAGTTCAGTTTGTAAATATACTTCTCCAATATAATATAACAACTGGCATAATGTGACAAAATCACAATTATAGAACAGTCTCTGTACATATCCCACCAGTGAAGGTACATAATCTGAGTGAGATGATTTGAAGTTCACAGATGAAGAAAAAAAGAAAAAGAAAGGAGATATAATATGGTGTATCAAGTCATAGGGTATATGAAGAAAAAAATGCAAAGAATGTAACATATGTATCTTCCAAGGCCACAAACTTCAGAAAAGCCAATGCTTCTTCCTCTGAGTTCTTATAGGAAACTCTGGCAAATATTGGACGAATATTAGCCTTCATAATGTCACAAGTTTTTGTGTGAGACAACCTAACCGTTAGGCGGGTCGACTTGTCATAGTTTTTTTTTTTTTAAATAAAAATGCATAATTATGCTATGAAATATCAAACTTTTATTTATGTTGCGTTTTAGAGTACAGCATTTTTTAAAGTATACATATCTGATGAAAAAGTATTGGTGTCTAACCGTTGTGCCAGCCTAATAGTAGCCTTACAGTTAATATATATGTATCCTAAGTGGAATATACCACATTTATTTGTAAATATTGCTGAAAAAGAAAAATTCTTACCTCCAGCTTGATACAAGGAATTATAGTGAACTTCACTCCAAAAGCTCAACCACAGCTCTTGAAAATGCAACAGAAAAATAATAATAATAATAATAATAATAATAATAATAATAAATTGTCAGATGAAAATGACAAAGCCAAATGCTTGGCGCAAAAAATGCGAATGAAAACAATTGAGTCATTCTTTTTACAAAGTTTAATGCACGCTCGAGTTTGATATTTTCAAACGAGGGAACTGGGGGAATATAGCATGGACCTAACCAAAATGCTCCTTTAAAGCTACAAGATATATGAAAACCATATTCTAAGAAAAAGTGTAAAAGAAATACAGAACACAAATGAATTATAGGAAAATGCTACAATCCCGTTACGGAACGATTCCGTTGGGATTGTAACCTAAATAATAAGAATAGTTGGAAAAATTGTATTAAAACAATATGCATAATAATTAATATATTGTACCTCTGGCAGGAGTTATGTCTTTAGGAAGGATTTCTATGAAACAGGTGTCTCGAAAAGAAGTGACTAAGCAGATTTTTGCTTCAAACTACACAAATTTCAAGTAGAAGGTATTAAAAGCTAAGGTCTTTTTTAGCTTTTAGGTACTCAATGGTCAAAGTGCAACTTACTCGATCTGCAGCTGCTTGTAGAGTAACATGGTCTCCCCATTCCCCCATCCTACAATTTCGTGTTTTAAAATTACGTCAATTTCAAAATTTACGATACAGAAAAAAAAAATTGATACCAAAGAGAAACAGCACAAACTTTTTCATCTTCCTCACATAGTGTCTGTACTTCATGGGGACATAGCTTTCGTATAGTTTCCTATGGCGTTTTAGCTGAAAATAGAAAGACTGAAATAAGGAAGAAAATAATAATTCTCGATAAAATAGACGTGTAGTGCATTTATAATGTTAATCAAGTGCGTGCTTCAGGTTGAGCTACTGCATTAGAGGGGGAAAAAAAGTTATCTCCTAGAACTGAAGGTGATTATTTTTTACCCAGATAAAATTTTACAGTTTTTCTTGATGTAACTATATAAGTCAACAGATCCTACCTGTTTGATGACCTCCTTTCGAACATATTTGTGGTAATCTTGCTTCTGAAATAACTGATCTGAAAGGGCTCGAAACTGTGAAAATTGCAACCGATTAGTCGATTACAGATTGCTAAAAAATGATATAAATAAATAAAAAAAAGAACTCTTCAATAGAAGTTTATATATAAAAAAAAAACCCATCGAAAACAACAAAATATATAAATTAGTACAAGATAAATAAAAGCCAACCTGGCAGTTACCATCTCCCTCGATTCGCATTTCCGCCAAGCCATAAGTAGCCACCCTGATATAAAGCACTTTCACAAATTATCAGCAGACAACAATTTTTAACTAATTCGACTTTCCGTTTTCATTTGCAAATATTGCAAATTCCTTACTCATAAAATCCTTCTGGTTTAAGCAAATAACTCCATATAAAATCAGATGTTTATGCACACTTCCCTTAGAATGGTTCCTTTAATCTTTTGACATGTTTCGTAGTGGTTGCGAAATATAGGGGAAAAAAGAAAAGAAGAAAAATGTGTGTCTCCACAAAAAGTTGTGAATTATCTAACTGTCAATATAATTTCTTTGCTGCATCTGTAGTTAATATGTTGCTAACTTTATGCAAAAGTTTCATTTTCGGCACAATTTTACTTGATCAAGAAAAAACCTTAAAAGTAACTAATGATCACTCATCAATACGTAGATTTTCAATTGTAAAAATAAAGGAAAGAAAAGAACCAGTCAAGGAAAATTCATGGAACTGAAACTTAAAATAATAACATTTTGTTCTGTTTATGCAGCAAAATCAAACCAGAAAACTTTAGAGACGAACATCCCAAACGACTAAGTTCCAAAGATTCCTCCCAACAATACAAAGTTGGACTTTTTTCAACAGATAATGATCATTTTCGGTAGCGACAGGATTGAGCTAAAACTATAAAATAACTAATGGACCACACCACGCAAATCATCTACAAAGAAATACTGATATTCGTAGATACCACTTAGAAAACACAGAAAAGAAAAAGAAACCCTAGAAATATCCGACTAGTTAATAATTCCATTTACTATATGCTACATTAAACGCAATACCACGAAATTAAATTATTCTGGTAAGGCAAATATATCTGAGGTACCAAGGAATGAAATAACAAAGCATATAAAAGGTGAATATGTACAATAAAAAACCTCTGAGCTAGTCTCCCATGGTCTAAGGTTGCGTCATTTGCATCTGGTATACTCCCAATAACCCGAGGAGTGTGCTGCAAAATACAATGAAACAATTTACTTCATATAATCAAGCATGCCCTAATAAATAGGGTTTAACTGCAGATTTTTGGGCTTTAAAATTGCATTTTCTAAAGTCAGAACATTTGATTCACTGTCTTTATCCCATGAGAGCAAATCAAATTTAAAAATTTTGTACTCATGATAGGTCCAAGTTAGCTCCCATTAGGAAAAACACAATTTTTGGCCAAAGAAATGAATGAAGAACAAACCAGAGCTTTAAAACACGTAAAGTGCAAACCTTGTGATAGCTTAGCATACCACACACATAAATATATACCACCCAAAAAAGGTCATAACTATCACAAATGACCCAATCAATATTGTAATTCTCCTTCGCAACAAAATAAGCATAAAAACAACAATCCTCGATTAGAACAATCCATCAAAAAACGACAAAGGCAATATATATACACACAAAAAAACATATACACACCGGAATTGATTGCAAATGAGATAGCCTCTTGCCAAGCCTCCCATCATATCTCATTCTTTCGTCCTCGGCTAACATTATTGCAATCATATGATCATCATCCGTATCGTGCGAGCTGCTATTCAAACTCGAGCTCGAGCTTGCACTAGCATTATTCCCATAGGCATCACCCATACTAATCAGTAATCACCAAGTTCAGAACTTTATCCCTTCAGCAAACAACCCATATAATAGATCAACACAGAGTCACATAGCAGCCAACTAAATTAGATACAAGCAATAAACACAAATCACATTTGGAAATGCACATAGATCATTAGATACAATTTTTATTATACTTATCAATTGAAATCGGGAGCAAAAGGCGGATATTTTTTCCTTCACTAGAAAAAAATTACAACCACCAAAAAGAACCCTGAAAACCCTTAATCCCAAATGACGAAAAAAGTGAAGAGAACTTGCTGAAAAACAAAGATCTCAATAAAACAAGAAGTACCCAGAGTGACCAGACCTGGAAAGCGAAAAAAGATGGGAGATATGATTCCAAGATAATTATGGAAAAAGGTAAAAGAAACTGAAAACAATCAGACATTAGAAAAAATAGCATAATCTAAACAAGAAATGATGAAAGTCAAGAGAGATTTTACCTTAATGGATATCAAAAGAAGACAATTTCTTGAAGAAAATAGAAAAATAAAAATAAAATCTGGACGTGAAGGTAACAAGAACAAGTAGCTGGGTTTGCTTGGACGCTCGGGTGCGAGGGAACAATAAATCAAACGCGCGCTTTCGGAAAGCAACCAGCTTTCAAGACAAAACGTGTCCGGTTTTAGCTTCTTGTCTTGTACAAGTGACATTTTTGCTTGAAGTTATAGTATAATAATACAATTTAATTAAATGATAATGTTTAAATGACCCAAGATCAATTTTCTCATTTAGCCTTACGATTTACTTGTAATTTAATTTGGTTAATTCTAAGTTATTTGAAAATAAAATAAAATAAAAATATTTGAAACAATTTAATCGTTAGATGAGTCGGTCGATCCATCGTACTAAAAAAAAATTATATTATACGATATCATATTTTTGTTTATGTTTTTTATGCAGTATAAGATTCATACTTAAAAGTATATATATTTGTTCAAAAACATGATTGTCTAACCATTAATTAAAATTTAAACATTTCTAATTCACAAAAATCTCAAGACAATGTAACAATAACTTACAAGGATACTTGGACTCTAGAAATAGTTTTTTGAATATATTCAAAAAGTTACAATAAGGTACCATCGTTTAATTACCCCTTCACAAAAAACAAATGTTCATTAGACAACTAAATAGACATTTTATTAGCCGAGATTTTGAATAAACGTGGATAAATTAGCCATTGCTTCTAAACTCCCTTCTTTCCCAAATATCTTCTCATATAGCCTCTCAATCCTATGCTTCACTTGTTCGTCCCCAACAACTTTTTGAATTCCATCTTCGACCTCTTCAATTTCAAAACCTTTTATTCTCACCCCAATGTTCCAAACTTCGACGATATATTTGCAGTTCAGAAATTGATCGCCTGCAATCGGATAGCACAAGAGGGGCTTCCTACATTGTATGCCTTCCAGAGTCGAATTCCACCCGCAGTGCGTGAGATAACACCCCACAGCTGAGTGTCGCAACACATCCACTTGTGGGGCCCACGAAACGACCCTCCCATGATCCGACACCCTCTCGGCATAGTCGCTAGGCAAACCTTGCCGCCATGCGGTCCCCAACACCCAAACGAACGGTATCCTTAATGCCTCAAGGGCCAATGCAAGAGTCTCGATTTTGGATACATGGATTGGACTTACCCAACTTCCGAACGACACGTACAATACAGAGCTTGCACTCTGCCCGTCGAGCCAGTCGAGGCAGCTAGCATCCTCTTCCCACAAGCTACGATTGTTGATAGATACGGCTTGCATGATAAGAGGTCCGATTTCGAAAACATGAGGTGTTTTGCTGACATCAGCTAATGATTGTTGTCGAGCTCGAGGCTCGATTTCGCCCGAGAATGTGTTCATGAGAATGCATTTGAGGTTTTGGGATCGTTCTAGGATTCGGGTCCAGAATCTGAATCGTGCGATCCTGGCCGTCGATGAGCCGATGAGCCATGGGAGATCATTTGTGGTCAAAGTGGGCTCAATGGGAGACAAGCATAGAGGAGCATCTTGATTTGTTGGACATCCTATTTATGAATGAACATAAAACATTAAATATCATTTGCAGATACTGGTACTTGACCATCAAATTGCTTGTTATAATTTCATAAACATATAAATAACTTTTTTCCCTAATTCAAATACAGGAATTCATACATTCAAGTAGTGATGTTTTTAAGATAATTGATCAAATTAGAGATTTATAGTATTTTCCCAACTAGACATGCACTAATGATAGAGTAGAAATAAAATAATAATTGCACAGTTGCCCAACCCTTACTTTTGTAGTAATGGTGGACAGTGATCATTTTACAAATTAAAATAATCTATTGTGTATGTACGATCATTCACCATTTAACACCCAAAATAAAATTGACAACAAACAATATATAGTATGTATAAAAAATATTAATATAATTTCATTACTTTCTACCAAGAAAATAAGAAAAGAGACAGACTAAAAAAGGAGAAGAAAATTATCTAAACTATTAATTCTACAAGTTTCTGCTACTCAAACCTTAACGAATTGAATTATAAAAAATTATATAAAAAATCATATTTTCGAGCGTTACCGCGACTCTAGCTCGACTCAAGGAGTTAACTAAACGGAGGCATGCTATACATATAATAGCTAGCTAGCTTTTTAACATATATTTTTCATGTATTTTTCAACAATAGTATATAAAATATACTCATGTATATATGATACCATTTTTAAAAAATATAACCATATTCATTCTTAAATTCTTACAATTTTTCAAAATAAACAATTTTATTGTTCTACTTCTCTTACCATTTTCCGAAATCACCTTACTTTCGATCAACTCCGGTATAGCTCCGATTACCCGGTAAGTGGCGTACATGGCCGGCCAAAATCCGACCACCGCCACCCCACACCGCCTCCCGACCTCCACCGCCGGCGAAACAAGCAAATCCACCACCACGCAAGCCAGGCCGCCGGCACTGACATCATCACCGCCGTCGATCATCCTCCGGACGAGTTCCTCTAGAAAAACCGGCATAGTTTCCTCCATAGCCCGCTCGATGGCAAAGAAATCCAGCTGCCCCCCACCGCCAAGCCCGTCCGGGATAGACATGTGGAGGATGCCATCTCCGGCGACGGCCGGCGGATGAAGGCGGTGGTGGATGAACTCCGGCGTGATGACCACCGGCCGGAAGTTGAGATTGGATAGGACGGTGGCTAGCTTGAGCATGGGCCTCACGTGGCCTTGGGCTGGGTAAGGGATTAAGATTATATTTTTCTTCTTTAAAGTTGTCATTTTTTTATTTTTTTTTTTTGTTTTATAAAACAAGAATTTTTGGTGTGTGTGTGTGTTATGGGTGAGTAGAGGATTGATATATAGTTGTTTCTTATCTGATTATTTAAATTTTGAAATAATTGAATTAGGTTTAAGAAAGTTTACAATTAATAATAATTATATCATATTCATATTATCTGTAAAGATGTTACTAGTAGATTCAAATGAAGGGAAAAAGTTATAACAATCAAGTAGATAGAAAAAATAAATGGTGTAATAATTGGGATGTAAGAGTTATTGGAAATGTTTATGTACCATATGATATAAAGCTGTGAGTGGCACATTTTCCTAGTTTTATATACAATCCTACTTTTATAAAGTATATGGTTACAGCAATTTACTTTGACCTCATTAGTTGGTCAACAAAAAAAATTGGTAAACTTTATTGTATATAAATGGTTATTGGTTCCTGCCAACTGGAAAGAAATTAAATGATTGATCGAATTCCAATATTCTTATCAAATTTTTTTCATGAAAAGGTATTGACTCATCCAAAATATATATTTTTATATATATACAAAATATGAGTTTTATTTTTCTTCCTTGGTACAATATAAATTTGGTCCTCAAACTTTTTCAAAACTGGTCATATGTCTATCATTAATCTTAGTCCGTTAAATAGGTGTGTGTTTTTTGTTTTTCCTTTTATTTAGTCCAGGTGTGTCTCCAGTTTCGTCTCCGAGTTTTTATATGGAGTTTTAGTTTGTGGGTATGTCTCCTTATGGAGTTTGTACCCCAGTAACCCCCTTAGTCATCTGTGTGATTCCAGGGATGGTTCAAGTTTGTTCTGGTTCTAGTGGTGTTCGTTAACATCAGATTCTGTACTCTCTTAAGTTTTAAGTTATAATATAATTATTGTTTGGCAAAATAATAATAATAATAAAATTTTGATCCTCTAATTATGTCCGTTGGAATTAAATGTGGACGTTGACATTGAAAATCGTATCAACAAAAGAATATAATCTGAATTTGTATAAAAAACTTAGAAAAATCTAGATTTTTTATGGATGTGTATTTTTGTGGATCTTTGTGAAACATAGGTATTTACGATGAGCGCGCTCAACGTTGTTAGAACACAAATAAACAACTAGAATAGCGGAAGCAATAAACCGAAGATTTAAAAACTCTTCAGGGAAGCGTCCCACTTCCCCTCAGAGCTCTTTCATTGATAATTCGATTGTGCACACGCGTATAGTTTTGGAATTACAGCACATAGAACTCCCTTCTAGTCTAACCAACAACTATACTCGAATCTACTAACTACTTCTCCGGCTACGTCCCGTGGACTTTAACTCTCGAATCCCTCGAGCTAAAAACAGCACTTAATCCCTAAGTACTGATCACAAAAGTGTTTGAATGAAAAACAAAGGAATCAAAACAAAAGGCTTCAGTTCTTCAATGTCGTAAGAACACTGAAAACTGAACAATGAAAATAAAACCTAAAAGGCTTGAAGCTCGAATACAGAATGGAAGATAATAATCTCAGCAGCCTTCATTCGATCTTCAAGTAGGGTATACATACAACTCCTTAGGCATAGAGTCTTCTCCAAGTTCTTTCCTTCTTTCACGATCTCCTTTGATCTTCTTCCCAAAAATAGTGTAGTAACATGGAAAGTAAATCTTCCTTGATTGTATGTGATTTGGAGATCTTCATAATTGAGTTTCTAATGAAAATCTCATGGTTCCAGACTCGTGTAAGAACACAGCTTTCCTAAAATAGCCGATCTTCCAAATCTTTAAAGATCTTGTGGTGAATCTTTCCAAATCCTCCTTAGATCTTCTAGAGAACGTCCAGAATTCCTTATGCACGAATTGCTCACCTTTCATAGTCCTTGTCACCTATTCCTTGTCCTACAAGATAGAGAAAACTAATTATGGCATAGAATCAAGCTCATTAATGCATGTGGCATATATGGTAAGTAAATATATAAGATATATATTATGTAATACTTCTCCTAAAGGTTTAGGATTCCGTAATACATATTATAATAAATATATAACATATATTATTAATAATAAATAATAGGAACGTAACTAATTAACAAGTAAATAAATAGAAAACTTCCCTTTATTTTTTTTGCTTGCCTAACAAGAAAATCTTCTAGAAAACACATAGGTTTTTTGGATGATGCCAAACCAATATTCTTACAATCTCCCCCTTTGACATTCAGTTCGAAAACCGTGTTTCTTGAAGATAACCTACAAAATAAACTCAAAACAGCAAAGCAAATATCTACGTTCGAACATCAGGAAGTAAACTACTCAAACACCTGCAGTGTAAGAACATCAGAACAGTTCCTATCAAAACAACTATGAGGACTATAATCAGAGCAATCAAAACACATCAAGCTATCAGAACCTAAGTCAAACATAATGACCAATTCATCTCCCCCTGTCAGAATAGTCAAGACAATCAAACAGCAAGACATAAACGTTCTTACATCATGCATAAACCTGTCAAAAACAACATCCAATATAATCAGAAGCAAACAACTAGAACATTATCCTCAACATCTTTAGAAACATCTCATTTCTCCCCCTTTTTAGACTGAAATGCCAAAGGCAAATCTCCCCTTGAGTAATAACATCGAATGAGAGGAAAGAAAAAAAATATAACCGAAGACGAAAGTTGTTGCTTGAACTGATCTCTAATCATTGAAGACTATCCATCTCTTCTCTAGGCTTTTGCCATCATCCAAAGTGTTTCAGAAGCACATTAGAAAATGATGCAGGAACACAGATGGTTGAAAGAAAAATTCAAAGAGAAATAGAAATATAAATGGGGTTCTCAGGTTCTGAAAATGAAGATATATAGTGAGGACGTGATGGGCGAGGTTCGAAAAAAAATATCAAGGGAAAGGTTGAATACCATGCAGTAGGAACATCCCCGTCAAAACTGAACACACAACCCCATTAACACACTAACACACGTGTCCAACTAATTCAAAATTAGGAAGAATAAGACTTTATCATCCAAATATATATTCCCTCACAATTTTTTAATGTCCAAGTAATTCACTCAAGAAGGAAATCACATGCATTATGCCTAAGGATGAAAAAAATAAAAATAAAACCGCATGCAAGACACTAAAATCAATGAAATCCTTTCTTAATCTACTTAGGCAGAATTGATGCATAATTAATCCAAAATCAACACTGTGCTACAAACACACCAAGGAACAACACAGAGGCGGAATAATACATACATATATATATGTAGTGCAAGTCATATCTCTCCAGGATTCTAACACCGAAGCAACATAAACTTTATTATTCCTGGGCTTTTCACTTAGTAACAATCAATGCAATAGTGAAAGTCAACCCCATTACTTTGCCCAATGATTTTAAGCAACAACATTAATTTACATCGAGGCTTTTCACTTAGTAACAGTCACTGCAATAGTCAAAGTCAACCCCACTACTTTGCCCCAATGCTCGGTGTAAGAACTCGTTTTTTTTTTTTTATATATATATATATCATTATGCACTACATTTTTTATGAAGATGACCACCTTATAACTTCAAGTAAAAACACCACACAATGAAGTGCAATGGTTGTCAATAGCTACCACCCTTCACAACATTTTCTGTCCATGACGCTCTTTTCACAGTCGATCCCAAAGGAAACGAACCATGTGCTAGCTATCGCTCTAGATCATTGTGTGAAGGCAGCTCTTTTTGACAGAAATATATTTGTTCCAAGGTATGCAAGAACACGCCATCAATTAAAGACAATCAACATCTCACCCACTTTCAGAGGAGTCAGAACTTCATTTATGACTTAGTGGTGAAATATATGCAAAAATGCAAGACATGCCTAATACAAATAATACCCTATAGGCTTACACTTTGAGAGATGAAATCCTCTCTCTCTCTCTCTCTCTCCAAGTGTGTCTCTCTTTTCAATAACAGGAGACTTCATTTTTTATATCATCCACTCATGTCCACTTGTTCATATAATAATATAATGGTATAATAGCATCTAATGTAATATGATTGTGTGGGGCCCAGTTATGATGACCGACGGCTTTGATTAGACGTCTGTCTTGTCGGTAACGTGCGTCATCTGAAATCTGAATACGGTTTCATTATGGTATCTGTTAGGACCGACAACTCAAAACCCAGTTCTCCAATAAGCCCAACATACAAGCCCAAATGGGGTTCCATTCTAAAACCAATTAGCAATAGAAGGAGTAGCCCACCAAGCTTATATATTGACTTGAAATTTTTTAATCTTTCGATGTGGGATTGGGTTTGCACACCCAACAGTATCCGGGTGCGCCAATCACTTTAAATTCTGCTCGGCACGAGAATGGATGATCTTAACATTTGAAGACTCGATCAATCTTAGACGGCAACTCGGAGAACCTACTATTTGTATATTTATTTATTACACATTTTACTCCTTGTTTATTTCACCACGATCACTCTTTTATTAGTCGTGACCAAATTGAGTATCAACACGTGATATGATAAAATTTTATATCGACCACATGAAATGTTTCAATGGTAAACGATGTGACTGGTATATCAATTTTAGTTCTTTAACTTGACTATGTTTACAATTTTACTCTGTCATTTTGATTCAATTTCATGTTCAAACTCAAACTTATTTAGTAAATATGATCGTTCGGCTCGACTCGTATAATAAACTCAAAATCAATTGTTGTCCGGCCTTAACTAAACATGCTCATAACCTAGTCCTTTTCCCTAAGAGAAATGCTATCGATACATAATATTGAACATACGAGTGTACATAATACTCACAATTAGTGGGACCTACTAAAAATAAAAAATCACGTGGACCCCACTCCATGTGAGTGTTATGTACACCTCTATTTACATTTATTATGTACTTGTAGCACTTTCCTTTCCCTAAGTTCTAGCTCTTTTAACAACTATTAAACAAACTAACCTCTAACAAGATTTGTTAATCTGTGGACTTGTTCGCCTCAATTTGTTATTTTGAAGTCTATATAAAAACAAAACAATAAACAAGATATTCGCAAACAATAATTGAAGCCTATATAAAATCGGCTCATTCGTTGCTTAAACGAGTTATATCAAACTTTGTTCGTGAACAACTAGAATCGAATAATAGGGCGTCATTCTTATCCTAATCTCAATTTATAATTGTTCTTAAATGTTGATTCAAGCTTTCAAGGAGCGCTCGGTTCGTTAAGGCTCGAATTCGATTCGATAAGTCTGATAAATTAACTTAAGTTGAACTCATTAAAAACTCGTTTAGTTAATTAATCGAGTTTGATTTGACTCGTTAGGCTTATGAAAAACAAGTATTTTAATGTAATTTTATTATTTTATATAATTCGTTGGTTAAGGCAACTCGGTAAACGAATCAATTTCGCTCTACTGTCAAGCAATCAGGAGGCGTCTTCTGGTCATCCTTCGCCGCCCGATCCCCCGTCGGAATGATACGATTTACAGCCGCCGTCGCATCGCCGCTACTGTGCCCCTCTGGTCAGTCCACTTCCATTTGCCATCGCCTTCAAATTACTCTAATACATATAATACGATGATCGATGCTTATTGTAAATTGGGCGATGTGAACTAGGCCCAGTATTTTTTTGAGTAAGATTTTGCAGGCTGGTTTGAGGTCGGACGCGAATACTTTCGCCTCTTTCATCTTAGAGTATTGTAGGAAAAATGATGTCGATAGGGCTTTTGACTTTTGAGGTTTTCATGAAAATGCGGCAAAAGGGTGGTTTCGTATAATAATTCGATTCATGGGTTTTGCGAAGTTGGGAGGGTGGATTAGGCAAAGCAGATTTTTTTTTTTTTTTTTATTTTTTTAAACAAATGGGGGAATGGGGGATGATAATTGTTCTCCAAATGTCAGAACCAACATGATTTTGATTGATTCTTTGTGTGGTTCTGAAAGGAATTTGTTATTGATGTTATGTGAAGAAAATATTGTTAGCAATGCTAGATAATGGATCAGTACCTATTGTAGTGACTTGCAATTCTTTGGTCAATGGAATCGAAAAACTGTAATCCGAATGTGCGTACTTGCAAGGAGTTGATCTCTGGATAGTACAAGAAAATGGCACTTCTTAGTAAGATGCTAAATTAGAAGTCCTTGTAGCTCGATTGTCAATGCTTTATGTAAAAAGGGGAGTGTTGATAAGCGTATATATGTTGTGTTTAACTCCCTCAAAGAGAAGACTGTAAAGGTGAATGAATATGAAGTTATATATACTTCTCTGATTGATGGATATTGCAATGTGAAGAAATTAAACTTTGCCTTATGTTTGCATGAAAGTATGCTTGCAATGTGCTGATTAATGCGTTGTATAAAGTGAAAAAAACTATCGGAGGCTTTAAAGCTTCTGAAAGATATGCTGAAAGAATTTGAATTTTACAGAGCTTGTACAATTTATGTTTTTTCAGGGTACGGACACTTCCTTCCTTCTTGCTTATTGTAACCAAGGAATGTTGAAAGAAGCTGAGGATATAAATCCATGGTTAGTTTCGGGTACGAACAATCTCATTACACCTATTCTGTTCTAATTAACAATCTCTCACACGAGAGAAGCTAACTAGTGCCGGTTTTGTGTTTTTTTCTTAGAAAGTCTACCTTTTATCGCTTGAAACTTGATGTATTAACCATATGGCCCAAGTTTATGTATTTTAGGAGATGATTCAGTACACAATTTGTAAAACTGTAAAGTTTTTACGGAATTGAATGGAAATTTGTTGTCCCCATCCTTCCTTTGTAAGATCATTTCAATTTCCTCAACAAGTTACCTGCCATTGTCTTTTAATTATTATTTGTTTTTTTTTTTTTTTTCCTNCCAAGATCTCCCAAACATTTTATACCCACACATTAAGATAGCATCGTTAGTTGAAAGTTGAAACTCATTTTCAAATTGATAACATTTTCAAATGATAAAAATTAAAGCAAAAAAAAAAAAGGAAAAAGACGAAAAAAACAATAATGTAATTCATTAAAAAATTATTATGCTTTAAAGTACAATATAAATAAAAGTATGACATTTAATAATATAAATATATATATATTTTTATTTTAGTGCGTGAGGAGTCCATTGAAAAATATTACTCTAAATTACAATATAAGCATAATTATGACATTTGACAATAAAATTATGCATTTTGGTCACTATGTAACGAGCTGACTCTCCTAAATATGTATTTATCGACTCGTCTTACCGTTAATCTTGTATTATCATAGTAGTAAAAAACAAAATAAATAAATAAAGTCAGCCACCAAATCCACGCGTAACACGAATCTGATATACAATCACCCACCAATACAAACAATCAAACTCCTAAAAAAAAATATTGTTAAGCGTTGCAATAAAATTGGAAATAGACAAAGTTTTCTATTTGTGGACTTGTCCACCAACCTCCGCCTCCTCACGCGGTGTCGCCGCCTTACTCTTTCTCTCTCCCCACCCAACCACTCCACCGCGCTTTCTCTCTCTCTATAAATATACACAGATCAATATTACACATTCATTTAGCATAATCAACTTACTATTGTCTGATAGTCACAATATTTCTGCAATCCTTTTATTCCAATTTCAACATGAGTAGGTACAACCAAAGTCAAGGTCCGATTAATTGCTAGTGTTTAATTTGTGATTTATTGTTTAATTGAAAACGAAGTAGGTTTATGATTTATTTGTTAATTTGTGTTGAGCAGCATATCCACCGTCAGCCACCGCGTACACGGCGGAGCCACAAGGCGGCTACACGGATCCACCGCCGCCGGCCGGCTACCCAGTGAAGGACGGGCAACAGGATCACGGCCAGGCTCCGGCGGCGGCCACCACTCAGTCTAGGGGTGATGGCTTCTGGAAAGGATGGTAATTACTAATTAGTCCTCCTTTCAATTTATTGATTAATGTGCATAAGTAGTAATTTTGATCAGAATTTAAAGATTTTTTTAAATTCGATATTTTTTACGAGAATCTATTGAAATCGTAGTTCATAACGTTGGTCGATCAAAAACATTAATTGAGCCCTTCAAAGTATAGTATTTTCACAATGGACTTTTCCAATTTGAGTGTTCAAAATAATTAAGTTCTTTTTCCTTTTTGTATATTTATATTTATATTTCAAACTTTTGTCTTGAATGAAACTGAATTATAAGTTTTTGTTCGATGTTTCTGTTTATATTTACCGATCAATTGACTTATCGCCTCATCTCCCCCTTCTTAATTGGAATGAGAATTTTTTTTTTTTTTTTATTATTAATTGCATACTGAATCACCCAATTTAGTCATATTTGCATTTTGAATGAATAATTTTACTAAATAAATTTTGATTTTTATTGCAGTTGTGCTGCCCTTTGTTGCTGTTGTGTATTGGACGCTTGTTTTTGAAGGCTTTTCTTGGAAGAAAAATAATTTTACTTTTCGTTCGTTGGACCTTTGGGATTTTGCTATTTGTAATATGTGATCAGTGTATTTGTATATGCATATCGATTTCATTTTTAGCATTTTTATTTCACATAGACTTAATAGTTTTATGGTGTTTTTTCGTGGTTTGAAAATATTGAGTTTTGAGTATGGATGACAACACTAAATATGAACACGACACGATTAGAAAATACTATCAAATAATCAAATGTAATGACGTACAAAATACGGAAGGACACTACGTGATTCGAGACATGATATGTAGACATAAAATAAAAATTAGTTAAATTTAGACTCATTATTCATGTTTATTATCAAGAGACATGATATGTAGACATAAAATAAAAATTAGTTAAATTTAGACTCATTATTCATGTTTATTATCAAACAAAATAGACAGCACAAAAGCACGATAGTAAAATATAAACACGACACGGTAACACGATTTATCAACCTGGCTAAGTTTTGATATGGGACACACAATAAAGATAATTGAATTTCCTTATTTCCTATAACAAATTACTAATAATGATAAGTGCTAAACTTCTATTATTCAACATATTCTCTTTAAAATTAATTGTGAAACAAGACAACTTTCCTAAAAAACAAACAAAATATGATTAAGGAGAGAATGTATGTCATTTCAAATGTCTGGGATCAATTTTATTTATACTCTTGCTGCGCAAATGAAATACACCGAAAAGACAATTTGGTGGTTTATTAACTACTTTATATATCTTAATCATTGTATTACTAGAAATTCACAACTGCCCGGTGAAAATTAGTGTTGATAAAACTAAGTAGGTAAATTTGAACTTTAAGTGCAATATCAGGATCTAAGCCGTTAGATTAACACACAGTTGTACCGCGTGTTTATGTGATCTGAAAATGAAGACTCAGTTGTGTTGTGCGTGTGATAAACAATTGCATACTTTTGAACATCTCTTTTTGAAACCTTTCCCATGTACACAATTAGAAGCCACAAGTACAACGCCTCTATGCATGGCATGCTACCAGAACCTATGATGACAAAATGACATCACCTTCTTTTTTCTTTTCCTAATTTCATTACTGATTACGAAAAAAAAAAGTGGCATATTTAAATAATTTTGATGATTGTGGGCGCACCATACAATAAAAAATTATTCGAAAAAAGTTGGGATGCGGTCAAGAAAACAATAGACAATTTTGTGTGCGAGTTTAGAAATGGAACCAAGAAATAAAACAAAATAATAATAATAATAATAATAATAATAATAATAATAATAATAAAGGTCCTTTACAAAATTAGTAAAATTACTTTTAGTTTACACACAAAGTTAAACTGTTAAAGAGTCGCATCAACAACCTCATTGTATATAAAATGTTAGTATAAAAGACAACATAAATTCCAACGGGATTCAGTCAAAATAGAGAAAAGAATAAAATAAAAATGAAAATCAATGTGTATATTTGTCAAACGGGAGCAAAACGAGTGCGGTCCCACACAGGTGAAAAGTACCGTAAAAGGGTTAGCCCAAATGAAGCCCAAGTGAGGTTTCATCTCAAAACCAATTGGTGATGGGAGGAGTAGCCCACTATACTTATAAACTAGGCTCATTTACCCTATTAAATCAATGTGGGACACTCACAAGTGACATTCAACAATACTGTATAGTGGATAAATTTTGGTACCAACTAAACAACTTTTGCGATTATAATTGGAAAAATCCAACAATAACTAGATTTTACCTTTAAAATAACAAATTAACCCAAAAACAATATAGATGCTGACAATTGAACCTAAGCTATTCAATTATGAGCGGAGTCCGAGTCTTATAATTAAACTTGTTTGTCTTCTAAATTTAACCATAAAAGAGGACAATGAGAGATAGAAGAGATTTCAACTCCATGCCATCCATTGTATCCAATATACGATCAATCTCATAACTTGCTGGAACTTGATTCAACAACTTAAAGGCCTACATTATTTTTTTTCTTAGATAAAATTCATAAGTTCACACAAAGCTTGAAAATCAATCTATTCAACTCCATTCTACATACTTATACTTTACACAAAAGCTGCTATTAAGCTGTCTAATCTTTTGACAATCATGCATTTATCACAAAAATGCATATTTATACTATAAAATGTCGTACTTCTGTTATATTTAAATTTAAAGTATGTCATTTGAATATATATTTACTTATATTTAATTTAAAGTATGTCATTTGAGTGTAATAGTGCTTGACCATTAACTCCTTTACAAATCATTCAATCAACTAATTCCCAGGAACTAAAACCTCACATCCTTAACATGAAAAACAAAATGTGTAAAGCAAAAACAAAAACATTCTAAGACCTCACACATGAATTACCAATCAATCACCACATACTTGCACAAACACAATAAAATAATTTTGGTAATGGAACCTAAAAACTTTTTCCTTGGCTTCCACATGCTCACAACACTACAAACAAACTTCTCTTTCATAGTCCCCCTTCTCCCAAGTGCATCCAAACCCATCTCTCATTATTAATTTTATTCTTATCATCAAATTTCATGATAATTCCAAAAGAAAATTACAAGACAAAAGAGAAATTAATATATAAAAATATATTAGTTATACATACATAAAATAAATAAAAAAAGATAAAAATAGAAAAAGATAATAAAACATTCACCCCCACAAATAATCTCTGCAACACTTTTTGTCAACTTCTTATTTGCACACTTTCTCACAAAAAGCTCACACCCTTTTGATTCCTTCCCCCAATCAATCATCATGCTCCACGCCCTCCCCACCGCCAATAATAATTCCTCCGCCGCCATGACCTCCGCTGGCAAACGCCCCGCCGACCTCCCTCCCTCCAACCCCTCCGAGCTCACCAAGCGCCGCTGCTCCGGCCTCCCCGACGACGATGCGACGCCGGACGAGGAGGACTCCGACGCCGCCGGCCTCCGCCTCCTAGGCCTCCTCCTCCGCTGCGCCGAATGCGTCGCCTCCGACTGCCCCGACGACGCCGCCCTGCTCCTCCCGGAGGCCGCCGAGCTCTCCTCCCCCTTCGGCTCCCCCGCCCAGCGCGTCGGCGCGTACTTCGCCGACGCCCTCTCCGCCCGCCTCGTCTCCTCCCGCATCGGCGCGTGCGCCCCCATCTCCCCTCCCCCGAAACCCCGCCTCCAGCGCCTCCTCGCCGCCGTCCAGGCCTACAACTCCGCCGCCCCTCTCGTCAAGTTCGCCCACTTCACCTCCAACCAGGCCATCCACCAGGCCCTATCCTCCCCTTCCTCCTCCGAACGCGTCCACGTCATCGACCTCGACGTGATGCAGGGCCTCCAGTGGCCCGGCCTCTTCCACATCCTCGCCTCGAAACCCCGCAAAATCAGCTCCCTCCGACTGACCGCCCTCGGTCCCTCCTCCGACCTCCTCGCCTCCACCGGCCGCCGCCTCTCCGAATTCGCCTCCTCCCTCGGCATCCCCTTCGAATTCCACCCCGTCCAGGGCAAAATCGGCAGCCTCACAAACCCTAGCCAGCTCGGAATCAAATCGGGGGAAACCATCATCGTCCACTGGATGCACCACTGCCTCTACGACGTCACCGGCAACGACCTTCAAACCCTCCGCCTGCTAACCCTAATCAAGCCCAAGCTCATCACCGTCGTCGAGCAGGACCTCAGCCACTCAGGCGGGTTCCTCGGCCGTTTCGTGGAGGCTCTGCATTACTACTCTGCGCTTTTCGATGCGTTGGATGATGGGCTTGGGCTTGGGCCTGGGCCCAATAGCATTGAGCGGCACACAGTAGAGCAGCAAGTGCTGGGAGGCGAAATCAGGAATATTGTGGCAGTGGGTGGGCCCAAGAGGAATGGAGAGGAAAGAGTGGAGAGGTGGGGGGATGAATTGGGCCGGGCCGGATTCAGGCCCGTATCACTGGCCGGAAGCCCGGCGGCACAGGCGGGCCTGCTGCTGGGAATGTTTCCATGGCGCGGGTACACGTTGATGGAGGATAATGGGAGCCTTAAGTTGGGGTGGAAGGACTTGTCATTGCTCACGGCATCGGCTTGGGAGCCGTCGGATTTAGATTAAACAGAGGGTCCGGATTTGATGGAAGATGGTTCCGGGTCGAGTAGATGGGTTTGGATGGCAGGTTATGGACCTTGTGCTGATCCTCATGGATTTTCTTATATATTTTTTTTCTCTCAATACATTACTGTGTTTTGTTATAAATGTGATATTATTCTTTGAAGGAGAAATAAAAAAAGGTGGATTTTAGAACTTCATTTATTCATGGAATATGTGCTAGGTTTGGTTTGGATTTTTGGTACTTTTAGTTGATTCTTAGGTGTAGTAATTAGTATGTAATGGGAGACCCTTAGTCATAAGACTCATATAACTCATAGTTATACTAATTACTAAGTACTAACATTCTCCCTTCTCTCGGCTCACCCGAAAAACAAAGATCTCAACATCAAGAAATTTGTAGAATGAAAAGAGATGTGAAAGAGGAACAATTTATAGACAAATACGAACATGATTTGGAGTTCTTTTTTTGTTGCAAATGATTTGGAGTTAGTATAATGAACAATTTTTAAATTTTGTGGAGTAAGCAAATCGTTGATTTGGAGTTAGTATAATGAACTATTTTTAAATTTCTACTGTGTTTTATCATTTACGTGGGTTCGTGAGCTGAACTCAATCGAACAAGTTCGTGCAATATATTTGAGTTGTATGTTGACTAATAAAGCTCGTACATACAGTTCACAGTTCATATCCACACCCATTATTTGTTAAATTCAACATCTTTCATTTTCATGTCCAACGATCCTTTTTGACTCCACCATAAAGCCCCGAAAGACACGCTATTTTCAGAACTATCGGGCCACACTGAAATCTGAACCGTCAGATCAACATATACTCGCATGGATGATCTGACAGCTAGGACTCCAATGTGGGTAATAGGGTCGAATCTTCCCATCTAAATGATGTAACGGCAATGGATGCATATTTTTATGTTTATAATAATAGTAATCCAACACTAATACTTAAGAAAATGGTAAATACTGAACACAAACCTGAATTACAGCAAAAACAATATTCTGTCTTTATTTTAATACTTTCCAAAACTGTATAAACAAAAAGGTCAGGCATCAAATGAAAAACCAAATTCCTGACAGCCATCCAAGGATCAAAAACCCAAAAATTACCCAAAACACAGTACGATTAATAAAGATTCCTGTGTGCTTGCATCCTATATATGAAATCACAAACTAATTTTCCCAGAAAAAAATAAAAATAAACTGAAAATTCATCAACCATGAAAGCACAAATCCAAATCCAAATCCCAAACACCACATCTCAGTACCTTTTTCCAAGAATAACACCAATGACAATGGAAACAAGTGCCACGCCCAGAATGAACTTAAAGTTCATAGCTGAAGATTCCTCAGCAGTATGAACCTGTGCAGCTGAGGATAGTGCTTGACCTGAAGTTGTCTCTGTCTTTTTCTTGCTCTTTCTTTTGATAGGAGCTGAAGAAGATAAATCGATCTCCCGAGATTTTATATTTTCATCCTTTTGTTCTGAGGGAGCTCCACTAATATCCTGCACGACATAATCAAGGTACTTTAAGATTTAGGAGTGTGCAAAAACTCGTGCGGTTGCGAGTAGAAGCTGAAAGATGAGTGAATTGAGTGTTTTTGATGAATTAACTTTTCTGAGTGTTTCATTTGCGTAAAAATCAGTCGAAAATAGGATCAGAAATCTAAAATCACCCTCCCCGTAACATACTTTTGGATTTTTACTAAATCAGGTACGGATTAATCTAAACATCAAATGCATTTCAAGCCAAAATTGTTCTACAATTCAAGATTGCTTCATATTATATACTTTCTGTGAGGCATCTTTGCAAGAGCTCTATCTATTCTACAATTCAAGATTGCTTCAATTAGCCGTGCAATATAGAACACTAAATGCTTAAAAGGCAGAAGGTTTTGTTGTTTGTACTGAGTGAAAAGCATTTTCTCTCGTAAATATTGTATCATAAAATAGTCCAAGCTGACCTTTTCTTTGAATTTAGCATCAGCAAGCTGCCACTTCTGCTCAACTTCTTTCAACTTCTGCTCAAAATCTTTCAGTTTGTTTTCTAAAAGATCCATTTCTTTTTCCTTAGTATTTAGCTTAGTATCGAACTCTTCAGCTAAATGCTTTAAAGCCGCTTCTCGTTCCAGGTCCTTTTGGGAGCTCAGTTCCTTCTGTTTTCAAGCAATGGAAAGATAAAGAAAATCAATGATTTGTTCCTATTCTTTTTCTTTCTTTCTTTCTTTTTTTTTTTTTTCTACAGGCAAGTTGTTTATGATCCAAATACATAAAAAAGAGCACACATTATATACCTCTTCTTTCAAACGAGCTTCTGCAGTTGCCAACTGTTCTTTGATCTCCTTCAGATGATTCTCCAACTCAGTTTTCTGAGCAACATCAGAATTCAAGATTTCCAGCTTAGATTTCAGGGCATCTTCATGTGATTTTTGTTGTTTCAACTGCTCTTCAAGATTTATTATCATAGCTTGGAGATCATTCTTGGAACTTTGGAATGTCTCATTGAGCAAATTGTTTTCTTCCATTACAGATGATATCTGAAAGATTCGAATATGATAAAATAAATGCAGGAGACACTAAATAAAAAATAATTAATTTTTTTTTAAACTGTTTAATTGCAGAAACTGCCATTGATTTAAAAGTCTAGTTACAAAAAGATTTGCCCATTTTTTAAAAATAAAAAATAGCAAATATCTCTTAAAGATTGCAATTTTGTAAGATTAAAAAAAGTTGGGAAAGTACTTGTTTCTCTTAAAAGATATCGGTTTATCATTTTCTTTTTAATCAGTGAAACTTTAAGGGGTACTTGAAATTAACCCTCCAAAATAAATGCACTTACTTGAGACTGTAGTTTTTGGCCTTCAGAAGCAAGCTTCTGCGTCAGCTCTTCTATTTCTTTTCTTGCAACATTCAATTCCTCAACTGCATGTTCTTTCTCAGACGAAAGAGCCGACAAATTGGCTTGTAAGCCGCTTATCTCAGACTTAAACGTACCCAATTCCTCGGTGAGTTTCGAGTTTGCTTCAATAAGAACTTCACTTTCCTTCTTCAACTGACCACACTTGCTCTTTAACTCACTCTCCAATTCCTTCGATTTCAACAAAACTTGCTCAATCTCTAATTCACGGCTTTTTGCAAGAGCGGATGCTTCCCTAGCCTCTTCTTCATACACACTCACCTGTGCTTCAAATGCCTTCAGCTTTTCATACAAGTCCTTAGCTTCCAGATCTTTCAGGCTAGATTTCTGAATAGCTTCCTCCAACTGAGCTTCGGCTTCTGAAATTCGGGCTTCAGCCACCGAATGAAGCTCCGAGACTCTCGAGTGCTCCTGAGTTAGTTCACTGATGGTGTTCATGTGAGAAGTAAGCTGCCCTGCCGAGACTTCCATCTCAGAAGTTACAGCTTTAAGCTTTTCCTCGAGATCCTTAACTTTTTCAGATAATTTTGCATTTTCGGTGGATAACAAGTCGGCTTTACCTTCCACCTCCGAGATTTGTCTCTTTAGTTCCTCATTATTGCCCTCGGACGAGGCTAGCTTCTCCAAAATCTCATTGAGCTCTTTAATCACCTCTTCATATCTTTCATTAGCTTCTGCAAGTTGGGCTTCATAACTTTTGACTAGTCTCTCCAAGGACTCCACTTTCTCGACGTTCTCATTCACTTCCAGTGTTCGTGATTCGTGTGCTGACTCAAGTGATTCTTTTGCCAATTTGAGTTCGGCAATCTCTATGCTCAACAGCTCTGTGGACTTCTCGGCTTTATCGAGACTATCCTTAAGTAGGATTTCATTTTGCCTACTAACCTCCAGCTCATTCTCATTGTTCCCCAACCTGTCCAGTGCAACATGGTATTCATTTTGCATTGCAGATAGTTTTTCTTCCGAGATTTTCGATGTTTCCTTCAGACTATTATTCTCCTCAGTAGCTGAATCCATGAATCCTTTAAGTTCCTTTTCCTTTTCCAACGAAGCTTGCAAAGCATCCTCCAAACTGGATGCTTTTGATCTAACGGCCTCGAGCTCGGCCTCAACTTCAGAAGCCTTCTGACTGGTTTTCGCAAAATCCGCCTCCAAATTCTCTCGGTTTTTCTCCAGCAAAATTATTTGCTCCTCGAGCTCCTTAGTCCTGTTTTTTTCAGTCTCAAGAAGTAATTCCAGCTCCCCAACCTTTTTCTCGGCATCAACAACTTTAGAATCAGACGCCTGAATTAAGCCCTCGAGCTCGAGGCTACGTTGATGGATCGTGTTGGCCCGTCCCTCATGCTCGGCCCAATTGTCGCTCGCATTCTTTAGTTCCACCTCAAGCTCCGCGCAACGGGCCTTCAATTCAGCCATCTCAGAATCCCTCTCAGATAACTTGGACAGGGACTCTTGCAAGCTGGCTTCTAGATTTAGCTTCTCATCAACCTCCTTCTTGAGATCTTCAGTGAGTTGGGATACTTTTTCAGATAAATTTTCCGATTGGCCCAGCTTGGCTTCCAGCTCGTCACAAAGCTCCTTCATTTGGATGGTTTTGTTCGTTAAATCAGACACGGCATTTTCCAGGTCCAATTTTTCTGTAACAACTTTTTCCAAATCTTCCTGTGCGATTTTCGTTTTATTTTCTTCATTTTTCAATAACTCTTCAGCCCTTTCCTTTGCATCAAGTCCCTCCTTAAGATTGGCCTTTACATCCTCTAGCAGATTCTCGAGTGATGCAACATCGACTTTGGACTTTGACTCGGCAGCTTTCATGACTTCCAGTTCTTGAGTCAACTCACTTATAAGCGTCTCTTTTGAAGCCAGCCTCTGCTCGACTTCCTCTGCATGAGATTTCGAGCCTTCCAACTCGGCACGAGCGCTAGCAAGCTCGGCAGAAACGCTTTTCAACGCCTCCTCGACTTTCTCATTCTCGGCTATTTTGTCGTACAAGCTTTTGAGCTCATCCTTTAGCAAAACCATTTGTTCTTCCATATCTTTGGCGCTAGATTTTGCCGCCTCAAGCAAATTTTCGAATTCCACGACCTTTTTTGATTCAGCCTCAGCATCTAAACCGCTTTGCTTGTGCAGCTCCTCGTATTTCCGGGCTTCTTCGGATGAA